TTGAGTGGCAAAGGGTTAAAAGCTCTGTCATGTTTTTATTGTTTGAATCCCGGTTGGGAAGGTTTACCCTCTTGTTCTGCCTTGGAAGTACTCTGTCCCTGTGACACCTCTGACAAATCTGTCCCTGTCACACCTCTGACAACTTGATACACACAAACAGTCATAGGGGCTTGTTCACACCACCTCCAGATCTGGATGCGTTTCTGTAAACGGATGTGTGCATTTTTTTGATGCAGTTTTGGTGCTTTACAGTGCGTTTTGTTTTCTCAAATAGTTTTGCTTGGGTTTTAAGCGTGTTCCAGTGCATTGTGGTGCGTTTATAAATGCATGTAAACGCATATCGTGCATTTCAGAGAAAAAATGCAGCATGCTGTACTTTTAAGCTCTGAAACTGATGGTGTAAACTAGTCTCATTTAAACTAGGGATGCACCGATACTTTTCGAGTACCAGTGCAGATACTTGGCATTTTCATGAGAACTACCAGGGTTGCAGCGGTTGCAGCTGGGACCTGGCTCTGGCACTCCACCGCTGTCCTGAAATCATTAGTCAATATTGTTTTAGAAAAACTGACACATGACAATAAACAAAAATGTATCAGTACTCGTACTTGTAAGTACTCGGCAAGTACCAGTACTCGTACTCGCAAAACTGGTATCTGTGCATCCCTCTATTTATATTTATAAAAACAAAATCGTACATTAAAACAGAGATGTACAAATCCCGGGAACTCCGTGTGCTCCTTACAAATGACAGCTGCCTCCCAATTTCTGAATTGTTCTCTAGTCTAGTCTTGGAGCTCAAAAGTATCGGTACAGGTACTTGTACTTGTACCGAGTACTGTACTTGGTATCTGTGCTACCCTAATTTAAACCCATTGGACTTACCTTGTAAGCTTTTTTTTTTTGGTGCAGATAAAAAAAACCTTTCTAAGATGGAGGTGGTGTGAACAGACCCTAAAAGTGTTAATAAACCCCTGATTATACAAAATAAATGTAATAGCATACCTTTTATATTATTGCTGGTTTTGTGCCCCATTTTTATGTGAAGCACATTTTTGTGGCAAAATAGACTTTTTTAAAGTTCATGCTAGAAATGTGTTTCCTCTAGGGTGGCTCTGCTAGTTTGCAGGGTCCCCCTGGAGCCCACCTGTTGTGTGTGCACTCCTGGCCATTCCAAACAGTCAGCACAGAATCACGCCATTCAAAGCCATGCCCTTCTTCCTCCTACAAGGTCTTTGATTGACAGCAGTCCCATTCTATGGGATTTCTTTAGCAACAACTATGCTCTGAATAGCAGAGTGCCTGCTTCCTTCGGGGAAGTTCACCATAGAGGATATAGGAGACTCCTACCACACTCCTTTACTGGTATGTCCCTTGCGGTGGGTGCTGTAGTGACTGCAGATGGCACCGCTTCAGATTCAAGAAGTAAAATATATCATCAGCACGCTGTGGCCAAATCTGCAAAAAGTGATCATTTTATTGGTGCGTACACATCTTGTCACATTGCAATGTTTCGGGGCCACTCGGGGTCCCTTCCTTAGACATGACTGTTCACCATAGAGGGACACAGCGCAGACATGCTTTAAAAGGGGAAACGTGAACTGTATATAGCAACATGCAGAAAAAAAACCTTTGGATTTAATGCTAGACGCATGTGGCTACAGTAATGTAGTATTGCAATGAGAGTTTATTACTAACTTAACTAAATTTGCCACTCTATCCAAAGCTTAAAGCTGATCTTTGGCATACGTAAATATTGTCTAAATACAAGAGGAATGTGTATTCTTACTTGAATCTTTGTGTATTTTTAAATATATGTGCAGTAATCCGGTGTGAGACTTTGCCTCTGTACAGTAGCTTCTTGTAAGAAAGATCAGTCACTGCTGCTCACTCTCCTTGTGCAGGTAACTGGTCTTGTCTCCACCCTCTCCCGTAACAGAGACCGGTCACTGCTATTCTGTCTCCTTGTGCAGGGTGACTGGTCTTGTCTCCGCCCCCTCCTGTAACAGACCGGTCACTGCTATTCTCTTCTTGTGCATGATGACTGGTTTTGCCCCTGCCCATTCCTGTAACAGAGACCGGTCACTCCTATTCTCTCTCCTTGTGCAGGGTGACTGGTCTTGTCTCCGCCCCCTCCTGTAACAGACCGGTCACTGCTATTCTCTTCTTGTGCATGATGACTGGTTTTGCCCCTGCCCATTCCTGTAACAGAGACCGGTCACTCCTATTCTCTCTCCTTGTGCAGGGTGACTGGTCTTGTCTCCGCCCCCTCCTGTAACAGAGACCGGTCACTGCTATTCTCTGTCCTTGTGCAGGGTGTCTGGTGTTGTCTCTGCCCCCCTCCTGTAGTTTTCTGCAGGAAACCCATAGAGGGTGGACCGGCTGCGTCCCTCCTACAGCTCTGCTCTCTGCACAGGCTATGTACAGCACAGTGAGGCTTTCACTGCTCCAAGTCTGGGTTTTCAAAGGCATTTGGTGTACACAAAGTAGATTTATATCCTTTTGTGGCCATTGAGGAATATATTTAAATTAACATATGTTGTCTGGTGTACAGCTTTAAAAAAAGAAAAAAAAAAGTTTGAGCCATAAGGACAAGAAAGTTCTCTCTCCCTTTTTTGGCTGTTGGCATTCTTGGCTCCTAAAAAATGTATTTGTGGGCTCCTAGATTGGGCTGAGTGATTCCTGCAGTCTACATCGAGGTTGCGTTATAGACATGTCTGTGTGTTCATACTGATACAGAATTGTGCGGTGTGCATTTATACAGAGATCATAATTCATTACCATAGTTAAACTAGTTCAGCTAGCCTAGAATAGAAAGAAGCTGTGTTACATCCATAATAATAATAATTAGACATCAGAAATAGCACTGGGGGATGGGATGCACACATACAAATCCTGGGAATTCCTGGAAGTTACTTGGCATACTCCCACCATTAGCAGATCTTGTTCTTAGACATATTACGGTTTAGGCAGCACCCCCAGCATTGGATATCGCTGCCTGTCTGCATGATATTTCAGAAACAAGTCAGCCTCTTCAACCGAATGTACAATTGGCTTAATGCAGCCACAGTGGTAAGGAGTGATTAAAGGTGCTAGTGGGGATCAAATTGGTTACAATACGATTAACACAAAATATGTTCTATGGGAATTATACCCTAGCATATGCAGTGATATTATAAAAAAATCCATCACTATGTAAATGGTTTCCACATCACGGAACCGAAGGCATTCAGAATACTGATGTTGAAGAGAAGACAATCCTGCTTGCACCACTTGCTGCTTTCTCAGCTTTTCCGAGCTTCGATAGTCTAATACCGTTAATTTCATTACTCTTGTCCAGGAAGATAAATAGCATGTTTTGTAGAAGCTTTCCTTTAATCAATTCTAACTTCCTGTAAGTCTTCTGTCACCGGGCGCCATTGTAATAAAATGCAATAAGTTTTATTTATTTTACCATTATTGCATTAGGCTGGATATTAAAATGCATCTTATTTCATTTCGAACATATCCTTTTAGCAGCTTGTTCTATACCCTTCAGCAGCTTGGGTTATGAAACAAGGAGGATGCAGTTTAAAACAATCACTGCATCAATAACAGTGGCTAGAATGAGAGGCAGATGTGAGCACGGGACATTAAGCTTTAAGAGGAAAATAATTGCTTGTTCTTACAACCGTCCAATCCTAAACCTTCAAGCGTAAGATCAGACCGGACTACTAACCTGTATGAATTTTACTGTCAGATGGGACTTGCAGAGTATTTATCTGCACTGCATCACAGCCCTCTTTAGCTTGCAAAAGGTTAAACAGTTAATGCACCTTGGAATTGAAATTGATCTAACCCTGCTAAGGGCACATGTGCAATTGCTTTTGATAAAAAAAAGATTAAGATTTAAAGGTAGCAAAGCCAGCAGCAGATTGCATGGTTATATATTGGGAAACCAGAAGGAGTTGCCATGAAAGAATAATGGATCGGAGCATAGTAATTTAATTACTATAAACAAAAACAAAAAAAAGGCATAATTAAATTGGGGATAGTTAGTACTTCCCTGGTTTTTAATATTTACTACATGTAATTAAAATCTAGCATTTAAATTAATATGTGCATTGTTTCTGTTATTGCTGCCAAATAGTATTAATTTTGTCTTATAGAAATGCACTTTATTCTGTGGTTTTAATATGACAGAACAGGTCGGTCCTTTTGTATGTCGATTGAGGAGCTGCAGCGTTTTATGTTGTAGTATGGCACAATGCTCCGCCGTCATGTTTGTGAGACAGTGGATATACAAGACAAGATGGTACAAAATGGATTTCAGATACCTAGCAGAAGAGAATACCTTATGGCAATATGAGGTGATCTCCCAAGTATATAACTGTGCAAGTGAGTGGCGAAGTACTAAGGCAGTGAGATGGTAAAGCCAGTAGGTGGCAGTAATAAGCTAATCTTTACTCTTCAATGTTCCTTAAAAAAAAAAAATGGAAAAAAAAAGAGAGAACGAGCAAGAGAGACAAGAAATTAAGTCAGTCAAAGAGAAGAACTGAGAGTGAAGGTTGGCGTATGGCAAATGGAGGATCAGAGGATTTAAGGCACCTCTAAACTGTTGAATTTTTAGCAACTTACAATGTGTTGCTTAGCTTTGGGTCTATTGGCGTTTTACAAATCTAATGTTTCGTAGTGCAGATTCTTCTGAATCCTGTGAATGAACGACTGAAGTACCAGCAGAGGCAAACACAAGGGCTGCTGCAGATTGCAGAAATAGCAGCGTTTTGTCTAGGACTTGGGAGGAAAATAGCAGATGGGGGAACAAATTCAACTCGTATCTATGCCTTTTCAAAGAATTGCTTGTGCTTTTCCTGCTCAGAGCCTGCTATATTATTTTACCCACAAGATCTGTGCCGTTTACATGCACAACAGCTGAAGAGAATTATTAATCCCGGGGACTGCTTGGATAACTGTGTTTTGTTATTCACTGCATCTCTCTTGCAAGGATGCTAGAGTAAGTAAAAACGATTCTCATCTTCACAACCGCAGAAACATCTCCATATATACTCTTACATCTTTGCAGATTGCATTTTGTCCAAAACCATGGCGAATAGTCACAGCTAAATATATGAAACTATGAGCTCATTGCCTTGAAATCAAGACATGGACTATTTATCTAGAAGCCAATTTGCAATTGTGCGCATTATGACTCCGTGCTAACTTATTTCAATAATGACAGCCGTTTTGTTGTTTGGAAATGAAATTGAATTTGTACGATGTTTAGTGCTCTGCATCCAGAATAAGCACCAGTCACTGCGGCTCTTTCTTTAATGTGGAGTCCATTGGGAATCTGCAGCTATTGATTGCCCATGTTCACCACTTACAATAATAATTGCTGAATATACCTAAATACTTGTGAAAATGAGGACTGTGCTTTGATCCAGATTTTTTTAGTTTAACCGTGTGTTGAGGACTGCGGGGAGGAAGTGATAACATGGCAATGATCGGCAAAAAAATGAAAGAGGAACAGTTGAAGCAAATCTGGCTATGAATGCAGTAACTGTTCTCTATTCAACTGTGATTTCATCTTTTTTTTTTCCACCGTTTTATAATCTGTGCATCCAGCATGCTTTGCCTGTTGATTTGTTCCAGAATACAGAATGAAAACTGGAATTGAACTGAATACAATTGTTGGTTGTAAACTGATGTGGCTACTGGCCTTGCAGAACAGAAAAAAAAGTCTAAGAATGAAATGACTGAAACCAAGCCGTGGCTGTAATACTTAGCAATTGATGATCAACTTTGATGGGTCCTTGTATTTTGGATTTTGTCCAGATCGTCTGCAAATCCCCACCGTCTTTAATATTCATGAATTTCTGCCTGCAAATAGAGATAATATGATGCAATTGACAGTTGTTTTGGAGGCGTAGCTGACAACTTGGCATTTTCAAAGTGCATTTGTTTTTTTATAGCTTGTCTCTATTGGAAAGTTTGCAGCTACTTTTCCCAACCTCTCCCTCTAAATGCAATGTTTTTTTGCATGCCAACACTTTTTTTTTTTTTTCTCCCTCGAGCTGCTCAATCATACATCAGAATAGAATGTGTAAATTGCAGTCTGTCTAATCTTCTTTGGATGAGATAGTTATCATCTGCTTTAAACCATCCAAGATTGAAATACTTGATTTCTTGGAAAGTGAAATCAATCTCCTAATGCTGTCATAACTGCCCTCATGTGGCAGATCACTGGGGGCTTGCCTTCTCTATCAGTTTTTAATTTGACTGGGATTTTAGTGACAACAAAAACTAGATAACTGATAAACAGACACTGTTTGGGATGTGCCGCTTTGTCCTTTTTCACTTTTTCTATTGGGCTTCTGTTCAAGCTTTGAAAACTTTGAATTATTCAGTTTCAGAAGAAGGGGGGTCAAGAAATGCTATTGGCAATATTAACGATGCACAGCTGGAGCCTCCAGAACGGGGGAAAAGACCTAATTTTAGGGTGCTGGAGAACTCTGCTCCTCATTTATTGGATGTTGATTCGAACAGTGGGTTACTGTACACTAAGCAACGGATTGATCGTGAAGCTCTTTGCAAAAACAGTCCTAAGTGTGTAATTTCTCTAGAAGTTTTTGCAAATGACAAGGAGATATGTATGATCAAGGTTGAAATACTTGATATAAATGACAACTCTCCTAAATTTGCTTCCGATCAGATTGATATAGATATTTCAGAAAATGCCTCACCAGGTACCAGATTTCCTTTAACGACAGCACAAGACCCGGATTTTGGGACTAATGGCTTGAGGACTTATAAAATAAGAGGAGATTCTGGCTTGTTTTCCTTGGATATTAAATCTAGAGGGGATGGTACAAAAGTTCCTGAGTTAGTTATTCAGAGAGCCTTAGACAGAGAAGAACAGTCTCATCATACACTTATTTTAACTGCCTTTGATGGAGGAAACCCTCCAAGATCAGCCAATCTGCAGATAAACATTAAGGTTATTGATGCCAATGACAACAGTCCTGTTTTTGAATCAAAATCATACACTGTTGAAATAGCTGAGAATTCACCATTGGGGAAGAGGATAATTGACCTAAATTCTACAGATCCAGATGAGGGCTCTAATGCAGATATCTTGTATTCATTCAGTGGTTATGCATCTGAACAAGTATGGGACCTATTTTCCATTGATTCTCAAACTGGCGTGATACAGGTTAAAGGCAATATAGATTATGAAGAAATTCAGATGCTTGAAATTGATGTGCAGGCAGAAGACCAAGGACCAAACCCAATTCCCGTGCATTGCAAAGTGACTGTTTTAGTTACTGACATAAATGACAACTATCCATCTATCAGCTTTGTGTCTGTCCGCCAGGGGGCAATTAGTGAAGCCTCTCCTCCTGGTACTGTTATAGCCTTAGTTAGAGTTACTGATAAGGACTCTGGAAAAAATGGCCAATTCCAGTGCTGGGTCCTGGGCAATGTCCCATTTAAACTTGAAGATAACTATGACAACTTCTACACTGTTGTAACCAGTAGGCCTCTTGATCGTGAAATACAAGATGAATACAATATAACCATCATTGCTAGAGATAATGGAAACCCCTCGCTAGATTCTACAAATTCTTTCTCTGTAAGGATTTTGGATGAAAATGACAATCCTCCGAGTTTCTCTAAATCAATGTATGCATTGCAAGTTTCTGCAAATAATATCCCTGGAGAGTACCTTGGTTCAGTTCTTGCACAAGATCCAGATTTAGGGCAAAATGGAACTGTATCTTATTCTATATTCCCCTCGTACATTGATGGTGTGTCAATTTCCACATATGTTTCCATTAACCCAAGGAATGGAGCAATATATGCCCTAAGGACTTTCTATTATGAGCTAACAAAATATTTTGAATTTAAAGTAATCGCAAAGGACTTCGGCACTCCACATTTAGAAAGCAATGCCACTGTCAGAGTGTCTGTTTTAGATGTCAATAACAATGCGCCAGTCATTGTTCTACCCAGCTTACAGAATGATACCGCAGAAATTTATGTGCCACGGAATGTGGGCGTGGGATATGTTATCAGCACTGTTAGAGCTATGGACATTGACTTTGGAGAAAGTGGCCGAGTGACTTATGAAATAATTCAGGAAAGTAAAGAACACCTCTTTGAAATAGATTCAGTGACTGGAGAGATCAGATTGCTCAACTCGCATTGGGAGAATGTTGCCCCAGTGGTTGAACTAATAATCAAAGTCACCGATAATGGAAAACCATCACTTTCAACTGTAGCAAAATTAATCATAAAGGCAAATTCAGACTGTGTAGGGTGCATTAATGAAGAAGGCAACGTAATCGGAGAACAACGGGACTGGGACATCTACTTGCCCGTTTTGATTGCTCTGAGTGCAATTTCTATTATCCTTTTTGCTGCAATGGTCACAATAGTTGTTAAGTGTAAAAAGGAGAACAAAGATGTTGGATCCTACAGTGGTAGGACAGCCTATTCCACTCAACCTAAATTAGGAAAAATGAAAAAAAAAAACATAAACAAAAATGATATTATGCTTGTCCAGAGTGAAGTGGAAGAAAAAAATGCAATGAATGTTGTGAGCTGCCCATTACTTGTCACATCTCCAATGTATTTTGATTGTCAGTCCAGACTTCCTCTCAGTTCCTCTCATTCAGGCGTGATGTATTTTACTCCTACTTCTAATGAGACTGATCCTAAAGAGAATGCAGGTTGTCAAAATCAGAACAATGACACAGGCCCAGCAAGACTGGCCTCTGAAAATTCTTCTACCTCTACCTGGATACCATTAACTAAGGTAGGGATGAAATCATTTAATTAATTACTCATTACCAACATGGCTATTGATGACTGTATAGCTCACACAAATGGATGTATGTCTGCTTTTGAAGCTACAATGAAACTGCTATAGCTCTATTACCTAGTAATGGCCTGTTGCATTTATTCATTCTTTTTATTTTTCAGAGAGAAAGAGCTTGTGTTCTCTATCAGAAATGCAAGTTACTAGATAACAGAAACTGTTACTAATGTATAACAGAATCTCTTTTTTCAAAGAGAACTTGTCATGAATCTAAGGTTGTAAATCTGGTTACCCCCAAAAGGTGACATGCTTATTAATATTATTGTCAACAAAACATTTTCTGTTCTCCCTTCATTTTAAGGAATGCTCTGTACAGTATTCTTGACATGGGCAAGATGGAGTTTTAGCATTGTGGTATGGCTTGGGGCAGTGCTGGGGCATCCGGATCAAGGATAATGGCTTGAAGAAACAGAAAATGTTTTGCTGACCATTACAAGTATGTATGTAAGTGTGGGCAAAAAAAAAGCAGGTGGCACATCTCTCCAATACATGCACATGTCCCTTTTTGATATACATGTTTAAAAAAGCTGCAAGTACTGCAGATTATCTGATAATCCTGCCAGAAATGCAGTCAGCTTCTAACTTCCTGTAGTGGGCTGACGACGCTGCCACTGCTGCACTGAAATCCCTTCATATTTTTCAGCACCCACAGCATTTTTAAAGAGATATAATGTGGAGGAATGTGTATGTATTAAGCTGGCCATACACTAGTAGTTTTTTTTTTTTCTTTATCTCTGTAGGAGGAACAGTGTGGATGGACTAATATCCCGCTGCCAGCTATTGTAGTCAGCAGCCGCTGAATACCCGGATAGTACCTGCTTCTGATTGGATGCAGACACCGTTCAGTCGGAAATTTTCAGACCGGCTCCTTCGACAAAAGTTGGTTGAAAAACCAAGCGGAGGGGTGCCAACAGTTTATTAGAAATTGGCCTAATTCATCGCCCATGGGGATGAACAAGAAAAATCTTATGGTGTATGGCCAGCTTTACTGTATCTTGCTTGATCTGCATATTTCTTACTGGTCAATGACTCAGAATGTCAGATGTTCATTCAAACAGCCCGGAAACCAGCATTTTACGAAGGAGTTAAGCAGTTATATCCCCTTTTTCATGACAGGGTTTCTTTAAACTGAACTGAACTATCACTAATCCTGGAACGGAAATTCCCTATTCCACACATTTAACTGGAATAGGCATACTGTTTATCAGTAAATGAGATGCTCATGTCAGTGTTTCAGAATATGGAAGAATATCAATGATTCTGTATATGAATGAATTTGAATATTTATATCTGCCTAGATTGCTGTAAGATTATGCATATGCAAGGGAACCGTTATTACATGCATTATTGTTATTGTCAGAAACTGTTAACAGCTCTATTTATGTTAAAGTGACACTAAGGCCTTGTTCACACCAAGCGTGTTCCAGGAGCAGAGCAGTTACAGACCGGATCAAAACTGCGTCCAATGTATTCCAATGGTATTTTGGGCTCTAGTTCACACCTCAGCGTTTAGTTCCAGAGCATGTAAAAAAACTGTAGCAAGCCCTATTTTAGCTGCTCTGGAATGCATGCAAACACATCAAAAACAAATGCAAATGCCCTGGAACGCACTGAAAGCCCATTCTAAACTAAAAAAAAGTTTTGTTTTTTTTTACCAAAAACGGCCTGTAACGCATCAAAAAACGCGGAACAACCCACTGCACTGCATGTGCAGAAACTCATGCAGATCTGGTCTGCATTTGGTGTGAACAAGCCCTAAACTCAGCAGTTAAAGTCTTAAACATGCATTTAAGTACCTTAACTATTAATAAAACTGTGGCACTGAAGCTTGTTTGTGTATGATTCACCTGGAGATCCTAAAATCATCTCGGAATTCATGCTGACACTTTCCTTCCTTCTGGGAGGTGACTACTTTTGTTCCCCATGGTCCCTGTGTGTGTTGTAAAGTAGCCACCACTCCAAGCTCGCTCCTGTGATGGACTGCAGTCTCAATACAAATGAGTAAACTAAACATGAGATTGTAGTCCATCACAGGAGTGAGCTTGAACTTGGCTACTTTACAACCACACACAGGGACCATGGAGAACAGAAGTAGCCACCCTACAGAAGGAAGGACGGTGTCACCATGAATTCAGAGATGATTTGAGGATCTACAGCCGAGTGATACACAAATATGATACATTTTTGTTATTAGTTAAGGTACTTGAATGCATTTTTAAGATTTAACTCCCGAGTTTAGTGTCACTTTAATGTATTCAGGTAATGTATTCAGATTAGCATATTAGTCTACGTATGCCCTTTAATGATTCTGGGACTCATTGGGTCTGTGGCATAATGCCCTACCTGAGGATTGCAGGATACATTACTTAACCCAGCAGCAGATAACCGTGATAAATGTATAAGAGTTATATGAGCTTAGACACCTGCATGTCTAAATGTATCAGCTCTACGGTGAAGGGATATTATGCCCACAAAGTTGTCACTTGAAGAACTAAACTGTGTAGGTACTTGTCATGTTAAACTGGTGTTTTGTGGGTCAGAAAATGGCCCCCTCGCTTTAAATGAGGCCTGAGCTGTTATTCAGTTAATAAAACCTATACTTGCTAGCATGATTTTGTAGCTTAATACTTAAGGCAATGTATTAAGATAATTTACCGTTTCTACTGTCCAAAATTGCTGTCTAAAATTAAATCTATTTTGATGGTGAGCTCTGGTCACTGCTGGTTGTTGCAATGAAGAAGATAGATGAATTAACTGTGTATCATTTCCAGATGCAATGGTTATTAGGGCATTCTTGTTACCCTACAAGAATGGGTAACAACCCATTCTTGTAGGTTTCAGTCTTCATCTTAAGTAGGAATGAATGTTGAGTTAGGGTCAACCATGACTTTGACCCACACCCAAGCTGTCTGCAGTTTGCTGAATGGATGAACTATTTGGCCAGTTTTCTGCCTGCCAAACTACCCTCCGTGACCTAATAACCATTGTCGCTGTGCACCCTGCACAATGTCATTGGTTGACTGATGGCTGAGCCACACAGTGTAATTGGCTTCTAGGACACAGGCTGGCCAGCATCTTGGCAATCGATGACACTGTGGGTTTCACCAAGTCATTACTTGCTAAGACAATTGCGGTCCCACAGCATCATTGGTTGTTATGGTGTGCCTGCCTGCGTCCTGATAACCAATGATGATATGTAGATTGCACATTGTGTCATTGGTTGACTGGTGGCTGAGTGATACAGTGTCATTGGTAGCAAGGACACTAGAGGCTGGACAAAACAGTGCCACTGTTTGCTAGGATGTTCTCAGCTGAACCACGCATTGTCATTGGTTGCTAAGACGCTGGTGGCCCCACAGTGTTGTTGGTTGTTATGGTGCACCTACCTGCTTCCTAGCAACCAATGATGCTGGGCGAGCTAGCTGATAGCGTCCTTGCAAACACTGTCAATGTGCGGATCACTATCTGCGTCTAGTACCGCTCATCCATCCATGCATGCATGTAACTGCTCGGATGTATGGTTAGTTGTCTACAGCATTGGCATTTGTCGGCCTGTATTTCAGCAGGGTGCTGGCTGCAGCTGGATGTAGACATCTGTAACTCCCGGGTGCAAAAGTTCAATCCTTCTTGACATTGTATAGCCGTTTTGCGTCTGTGTGATTGAGGCCTAACACCGTTTTAATCGTTAGAAAATGAGCAACTTGTATGATTACCACGCTTCAGAAGCCTCAAACCATGGAGATTTACCCATCTTTATCTGGTTAGCTGTGTGCACTTGTGGGCAACAACCAATAGCTGTGTGCACTTGTGGGCAACAACCAGTATTAAACCACTAAATACTTGATTATAACATGCTGCAGGTATATACATACACATGAACATATGTGTACTTTATACTCAATAATTAAAAAAAGAAAACAGTGTGTGCAAGTGAAAGGTTGCTGGGAAACATAGTTTTAATGGGCGCTGCCCCTTGCTGATTTGTAGGCTGTCATTCTAATCCCAGCTTCACCACCTAGATTCACTGACCTGGAAAAGTATTCAGGATGGCAATTTTGACATGTCAGACTTCATAGACCACATACTGTCAGGCTCTCCTTGAAGAGAATGTATAGTGTTTATGACTAGGAGGGCACAGTAAAGTAAAATACAGAGCACCCTATGGTGGGTAATCTATAAATCCTGGTATTTGATGCAGTAAAAATATGGAAGGTCAAGCACGTAAGAAGTGAAAGGAACATTAAAATTACTTAAAGTTATAGACCACAATATTATGTGCTCAGTGAACCATTTTATGATTTCCTTTTACAATAAAACATTGAAAACAATTTCAGATGTACACTTTAGGCTTTTTTATGCCATCTCATTAAAAGTGAGTATTTAAATAATTCTTATATAGTTTTTTTTCTTTACTATTTCTATGAATTATTGAATATTTGTTTAGCCTATCAGTAAGTTTATATTATTATATAATACTCCATACAAAGCAGGCACAGTTTCCATAGACTTTTTATTGTCACTATCCATAAAAAAGTTACTACAAAGGTACTACAAAGCAAGCACATCTCTTTGTGTGTTTAATAACTGTGCTACTTATACAGCCAAATGCCATCATCTCTGGAGTAACAAAATGAAAACAAACAATGACTGGATGTGGGCAATATTTGTGTTTTCTTTTACACTACGGATTGAAAACAAATGGCTGGAATATTGCTGGTATTTAAACAGCACATTTATTTATCATTATCATTACATCCTACCTAAAAGGGGAAGGGATTTGGATCCAAAAAATGGATTTTCTCTCCAAGAGATGAACAATTGGGAGCTATTAATATCGCTTATCCCGTTTCTATCCTTGTAATACTATTTCATATTTTCATTGATTCATCATTCCCCAACTGATGATTGCAAACGGCAAATGAGCTCTTCTTGTGGGT